ACTTTAAGCAAGTACCCAGTGAAGCTCTTAGCCAGGAGTCCCGAAGCTGAGACGCATTGATCTCACCGGTGTAAAGGAATTGCACCATGTGCTGATAGGGGCTTGTTTGTGATTTCAGGTCCGACTGCTAAGGAGTTATTTCTGGGACCTTGCCAAAGGTCTCATCTACACTTAAAGCTCTGTCAATAAAGTCATAAATGTCAAGGAGCAGATTGCCTTTCATACCAGCAGGATTGCATGCACATGCTGCCTATGTGACCTTTGCTTCTAAGTACTCAGATTTTTTAATATTAAGCTTTTTCTTACGTAATTCCACTGGCCTGAAGTTTGCAGCTACTCTCACCAGCAGGCCTCTCCCCCAACAGGGAATATGAATCACCGGTACAATTACAGACACAAACAAAGAAAAAAAATCCAATACATTAGCTCTAAGAAATAGACCAAATAGGATTCTGAGGTCCCTTTGCTTTTTCACAGAATCACAGAATCACAGAATGGTTAAGGTAGAAGGGACTTCTAGAGATCATCCAGTGCAACCCCCTGCTCCAGCAGGGACACCCGGAGCACGGGGCACAGGGCAGCATCCAGGCGGGTTGGGAAGATCTCCAGGGAAGGAGACTCCACAGCCTCCCTGGGCAGCCTGGGCCAGGGCTCTGGCACCCTCACAGGAAAGAAGTTCCTCCTCACATGGAGATGGAACTGCCTGTGTTGCAACTTACACCCAATGCCCTTTGTCCTGTCACTGACCACCACTGAGAAGAGTTTGGCCCCTTCCTCCCTACATTCCCCCCTCAGGTATTTGTACACACTGATCAGATCCCCTCTCAACCTTCTCTTCCCTAGGCTACACAGGCCCAGCTCACTCAGTCTTTCCTCGTACAAGAGATGCTCCAGTCCCTTAATCATCTTTGCTGCTCATGTTTGGACATTAGGTACCAGAATTCCCCTCAGCTTCACTRCATCTGAGCTCATAGGGAATAAAAACACTTGCATACCAAGACCATTTGTTCTTTACTCTTAGATAAGCTAAAGATGAGGAGGTCTTCCTCTTCTGAGAGAAAAGCAAATTGAAACAAGATGTTTACAACGGTTGTTTACTATGGATTTTACCCTCACCCTGCTTTCTATTAAGAGACTCCTGTTGCTTTAGAAACCAGGTGTTAATCCCTCAAAGCGGATGACATTTTCCAACCCTGCATACTTCAACAAAGCTTGAAGGCACTCRGAGAGAAAGAAAGTTTACATAAGACAGAAAACAGATGTTTAATAAACTTGAGTAATCTGGCAGGCAAGTGTGTTTGGTCTCTCCAAAAGAGAGCCACAAAAAGGCTGCAAATATTTTCGTCCAGAAACCATAAAGAGTATTTGCTCTTAATTAAAGAGACCGGATCCTAGCCAAGAGAAGAATCCCTGCCTCCTTTAACATAACTCCATTTCACCTCAGATGCTAAAAGGAAAAAAATTCTCATTTTCTACACCGCCTCAGCAGTGTCATTCCAATCAAATTGGGATCAGCAATCCATAGAGTGGGTTATGGTCAGGGACAGGCATCATCCCAGCCATGGTCTGAGTCCCTCAATCATTACCCATTTATGATCGTTGAAATATTGAGCTTTTACAGGTCATCACAATAATATTTTAGTAATATTTTCTGAAGAAACAGTGCCTAGCTCCCCACGAAGTATCTGCCTTTGCTTGAAGAAGTCATGCAGCTAACCAGGCTGGCAATCCAAATGAGATGTGTATTAATAATCCAGGGTTATGGATTCAGGCTTTTATTGGCTTTTTGCAACGTTGGAATTTTTGCACATTGTGCAATGAAATATTGGCTTGTTAACAGCGAGCAGAATATGAAAGTTTTCTATGCACCCTTTCTTTAGCAATATTGCATCTGCAAAGATCAAAGGCTTCGTTCTGGGCTTCTGTTTTTCCAAGTCGCCCATACAAGCTTGCCCCATACACTTCATGTTTTCTTTGGCTAAAAAGTGTCATTTACGGGTRTACAAGGAGCTATGTGGTTTTCTTCTTTCTTTTTCTTTCCTTTGCTTGTGAGAAGCTAATTTAATGAGCTGGAAAGGGTGTTATGTAACACCAGGCCACTAGCACCACGAGTTGGTCCGTAAAGAGCAACTTTCTTCTAGAAGAACAAACRGCATTAAGGTTATTTTAATTTAAATAGGAGCCCAAAGAACAGGAGCGCTGAGGGTGGGATGGAAGTAGGTCATTCTTTCTTACTGTGCGCAGAGAAGACGACAAAATCTGAAGGATTCTGTTCTAATAAAACTAAAGCCTTTGCACAGGATCAGAGGAAGGGGTTGCCTAAATGCAGGGCTGTTGAGTCCTCTCCTAGCAGATAATTTAAAAGTAGTCAAGGAAAACACATGGAATAATATCCTTTTGCAGTTTTAACGGAGAGTTGGGCTGAATCTAGAGCAAAAGAAGGGCGAACTAGATGGATAAACACATTTATTTTATTTCCTTCCCAAAATTCAGGAYGGGACAACACCAGTGTATTCTTGTTTTGCTTTGTTTTTACACAGAACTCAAGAGCAAATAATAAATTGACATGACTTACAATTTCTTACCTTCCTATGAAAGAATATGACAGAATTTGCAGTAATAAAACAGCTTGAAATCTGGCCCTTTTGCTACTAGGGAAAGAGATGACCAGCAAATATCCCAAAACTGTAAAAAAAATACAATTTCTTCTTATTCCAAATATGATATAAGCATAAAATATTATTTTCATAACCATGACGATCAGCAGCTGCAGTTTTGGAAAGGGTAGACCAGACCTTACTTATGTAAAATGCTCTTAATTCTCCACCAAAAAGAGGTCCACAGATGTGCCTAGGCATCTGTGTTTCACATCCTCTGCCCACATCCACCCCTGCTGCCCAAAACACTTGGTTGAAATGGGGTCACTTTCTTTTCCTGTATACACTGTAGCAATCTGGCTAGAAACAGCAACCTGGTAAATGAGAATATGGGTTTCCCAACTTGAATAAACAATGTAATTTAGATAATAATAGGAGTTTTACAGTTTTGTAGAATGGGACTGAAAAATTAATGCCTTTAAAATGAAACTGAAAATGATGTGTATAGTTCCATTTGACTACATATAATTTAAGGGATCCTACCATCTAGAGCGCTACAAAATACACCAAAAAAATCTGATTTTAAAACCAACTGAACTCTGCTGGAATAGATGTGATTATGAAATTAAAGCCTCACCAAACATTCTTATTGAAGTGATCTGAACAGAAAGATGTTGAAACCCAGGTCTTTTCCAAATATCACTGAAGGCTAAAGAACACAGACTAACATGGTATATATTTCCTAATGCTGAAGTTGGGAAAAACCCACTCTTTTCCCAAGGTGCCAGAAGCAAGGATGGAGTTATAAGGGTGTATTGCATTCATCCACTCCTCATGTTTGCTTCCCAACAACTTCGCAGAAGGATTGGGAAGTCAAAATAGTTCCTTGTGTTTGTTAAACAGGACTAGGAACTCTTATGGATCGCTTCATTTCCAAAGAGTTTTAGGATATTGAAGCAGCATTCAAGAAAAGAAAATTTCCTCTCAGGGATAAGGATATTTGTACTACATACGATAAGCAGCATGTATTTAATTAATATTTAAGGACTTAAACTCAGCTTTCTCAGGCCTCAATGGATAGCTGACCACTATCCATTATATTAGTTATATATAACTATATATAGTCATATACTCTATATGYACGCTATATACTCTAGTGTATATACAGCATATATAACAGAATCAGAGACCTAAGTTACCTGAGCATTTTACTTCAAGACAACTCAGTTTACAAATACCTGAGTCCTTGACAATACATGAGATTCTGAAGCTGAACACACAGGACTCGTTGGAAAACAAACTGCAGCACAGAAAGCACAAAAACTTGCCTAGAGGTGAGAAATTACCTGGTTACTAAGGCTGCCTTTTTCCTAAGCAGAATTTTTAATACCCAGACAACATTTTACCACGAACCACAGGAACTTTCACGGAGCATTATACACGTGAGATCCATTTCCCTCGTTGGTAAATCCCCATTTTGCAGAAGGGAAAACAGAGCCAAGGGAGGCATGGAGGTTGCCATGGCTACCTAAAATGCTGGGAACAAAGGCTGAAATTGGACCTCRCGTTTCCAGTTTCCTCTTCCCTGAACCCTGAGACCTTTGCCAAACACCCGGCCCAGTACATTTCCATACAGYAACACCCTTCCAGACCCTTAAGTGTTAACTACTTAAGGACACCACGTTAAAATCATTAGCGGTTACCAGCTCTTAGATGGTATAAAAGAGAGCTGGCCTTCAAACCAAAACTAATCCCCACGAATCCTTTTGATCACGCACACAAAAGTGGCAGTAACTTGACTCCCTTCCTTGGCAAGTACAGACCAACATGAATTTCCACAGGCACCAGGGGTACGGAGAAACTTCAGCTGGGATTGCTTTGATTCCTTCCTTGCACTCGACGTGGGTGTGAGCAATTGGTGGCCGAAAGAGTGATACAAAAGAGCAAAAACTTTGATGATTTCAAGGCAACATTCTGAGACCTTGCCAAGGAGGAAAAAAAAAAGTCCCTTGYAGAGCTAGGGTTTACTGGATCAATGGGAAAACAGCACCAAAAATATATATATATAAACTGCTTAGAAAGTGGAAGGAGCCACTGATATAATATTTGAGTGGGGAAAAAAAAGAGAAAAACTCTTTTGACTTCCTTTGAAGCTATTTAAACAGACGCAGAATAATAACTGCAATTTACAATTTTTACAGTTCTTTACTAATGTTCAACACCATTCTATTGCGCCACCACTTATTTAATGCTAATTGATGCAACAGCCATTTTCTTCACGACATGAAATCACCGGTCAGCAAAGAATTGCAAATTTGGAATAAAACCAGCATTCGTTTGAAACCATCCACTTTTAGAAATCCCTGGAAAACCTTCCGCCCTCCCCAACCTCCCCGTGCTCACCGGAACGTCAAAAGTCTCTTGCGTATCATCCAGCATCTGGATTTTGATGGAGACGAGTTTTCCCGGAGGCGTCACGGGTGGCTTTTGTCCATGCTCCAAGGTACTGATCCCAGAGTTTTCCTGGGCTCCTAACCGGGATCCTGCTGTTGGTCTCTGCTCCGTTTCACCCATGTTTAGAGAAATGCGTTTCTTAGATCTAGAGAGAGGAAAAAGGGCAAAGAAAAMCGTATCACTTATAAATATGAATTTTTTGCACGTGAGCATTTGAGCATATACACTTAAGAGTTGATAAACTGTATTTCTGCTAAAGAAACACTCTATCCTGCAGAAAGGAGTAGAGCTACAGGACTGATTTGGGGCGATTTTTCATTATAAGGCACAGTTTTGAACTTCGTTGCATTCGAGGATCCCTAGTTTTACTTGTGAGATGTGACACATCACACTAGAACTTTATTTCATTTTCCCACCCTCAGCCTTCCGATGCTGCAGCTGCATTTCGGATAAAACCTGCTGCTCCTGCCTATTCGTCTTCCTCGGTAAGTGCTTTCCTGCTCCCTGTGACTTTTATAGGCTGATCAGTGAGCATTAAAAAAACATGCAGTGAACAGAGGGAACGGAAACACAACTGCCCAGCTGAGCAGAGATGCAGGAGGAGCACGGCCAGTCACAGCCTGGCTTTGACTTCGAGGTTATTGGGGAAGTTCTTGGAATAATCTGGAATATTTGGAATATCATTGGAAAATATTGGGAAGCCAATGGAAAAATGGAGTGGTGAACCTAGCCTATACATTAGTAAAAATTAATTACCAGCTCTATAGTATCATGTAGTAAGATACCAAGTYCCTCCCCAAGGATGGAATGAAAGCAATATTGCCTTCAGCAGAATACACACAGTGTACTATTTATTATAAATTACTCTCCCAGTTTTTCACTAATCTGATTTTCTATTAAATGCAGAAAGTGGCTCAGAGTACAAACTCTAAAAGCAATACTTGCTTTAAGACAAAAMCCCCCAATATAGTTGGCACAGACAGTGAAGGCAGCCTCAAGTTGGCAATTTTTGAATCTTTGTAATTAAAATGTCCTATCCTACCCACCASGGCTAGAAAGATCCCTGATGAGACTTATCCAAGTGCAAGATAAATATTAACAAGAGGCAAATCCGTTGCATAATTATTAATCAATTGGCACTATAATCCAAAATGTAAGAGGAATCAATTGCATTGATTCAGCCTCTAAAATTAATTAATTAAATTAAAGCCTTTTAGGAGACAAGAAATGTCAACAGCAAAGCAGCAGTAGGACGCAGGCATTCCAAGAAGGAAAGAGAAAAAGCTTTATTGAGACTATTTAGCAATTWATTCAATTTTCCTGCATGAAAAGTACATGTGAACATTAAAAAAAAAAAAAAAAACAGCATGTGTTCGAAGTCTGGAAACGCTGTTGCACACAAAGATTCTGGTCCAATCCTTGTTAGCTCAAAAGCTGTTTTATGGGCTCTCCTAAAGCCATCATGTATTGCGCACGCACTAGTAGTGAAGAAAGGACCTCTCCAAAAGCTTTATTACTACAGTAGGTTTTGGCTAGGTACATGCATTTAAAATAGATGAAGAGGAAGCCAGTTCTATTCATCAAATCCTAAGTGTAGGAATYGATCCAGCACAGTTCAAGTGATAGCATTAAAGTAACCAACATAAGGAAATATTAAAAAGCTTGAACCTCTCTCCAACTGTTCGTCTAACTAGGGATCCAGTGACCCCACACACATGTGGCCAACAAACTCAGTGAAACAAGAAAAAAACAGGTCCAAATGAGGAGTCAGAAAAATACGGATGAAAAGTCAGTCAAATTATGCAGAAAGCTGAGAGATCTTTTTATTATTATCAACAGCTAGTAATACAGAAACTCCTGTAATATATGTCCTGAACCTATCAGTTACATGAGCATACCTTATCTTGGAAGCATAGATCTAAGAAATACTGGCTACTATGATCATGTGCATCGGCCACTTACCAAATTAAAAGCAGATCTCTCCKTCTTTTAATTTACCTATCTCAAAGTCTTGGCATGCTAAACTCAACATTTAGTATTTATTTTCCTACACAGCACCAGTCTCATTATGGCACTTCCATAAAATCAGCACAACATATTTATTTTGCTTTCATCTAAAAGCAGCCTTAAAAATTATTCCAATTAAGCTCGCTAAATAAAGCAGAACATTAGCCAAGCTGCAAGCCCACTCCGAATCGCTCCGATCCAAAGACCAAGGAGTGAGGGTGCAGAATGCACAAAATATGGATTAAGGAAAACYGGGAGGATTAAGGAACTAGTGTCAATCCCAGCAAGGAGGAGGCTCATCAAGGTGGGAAAAAAAGGGAGAAATGTAAAGGCAAGCTACTGGAAATAAGGGGCTGAGGACCTGGGGAGGTGATTAATGGAAAAAAAGCAGGAGCCACCACCCTTGTTGCCACAGCCCAGATAGGGGCACAAAGCAAAGAGCCCATGGGGGAGGCCAGGCAGTGGCAAATAAAGAACTCATCTGAGCTGGCACAACCCCAAATAGGGCCGAAACCTTTTCATAAACTGTAAAAGCCATGACGAGTAAATGTGCTTGCCCCCTAATCAGATGTTAAGAAGCTTTTTTAATGCAGATACTATGTGTTTAACTCAGAATTGCCGCTTTGTACGGACTTTGCAATAGCTGGACGAAGGCCAAGACCGCGTCCAGCATAATGCAGCTTTCTTCCTCAGCAGTCAAAAGTGCCACTGAAGGCACTTTTTTTATAGCAGTAGAAATCATCAGGCAAATGGAGGTTTCCATGTCTTCCTCTTTGGCGGGAAGAAAAGACAATCAAATGGGACGCGGGAGCACGAGCAGAACTTACTGCTGAGAACTTCCCTGTTACTACACTGGTGAGAAAGCAAGCAGAATGTATTTTGGAAGAGATGCTACTCTGATGTGCGAGCTACTCTGCTTTTTACAGGCCAGGCGGTGAGGGCCGGGCATCCCTGGGGTGCCGCTGCTGCGGGAGCAGTGTCCTGTGCCGAGYGAGGCCCGTGGCGCGCTTCAGGAGCGCGGCACCGAAGGAGGCCCCTTCTCTTCTCTCCTTATCTGTTCTCGTCTCTTCTTCTCTGCCCACAGTAGGGGACGAGCCAGGGCACGGGGGGATGTTGTGACGGGCCTTGAAGCCACTGAGCAGAGCAGCGGCTGAGGTAAAGCCGAAGCGGAGGCCTCTCCGGCACGAGGCCTGCGCCATCGTGCGCCGGGGAAGCACCCCAGAGAGGAGACCCACGGAGTGAGGGTAGCACCACACGAGGAGGCTCGCACCAACTCAACACCTCAACAGTAAGAGCTAAGAAAGTACCACAAGACTAGAGGAAAAAAAAATGGATTCAGATCTTCCAAAGGTTAAACATGGAGCAGGAAAGASAGAAGAGGAGGGACAATCCTGGCAAATGACTAGCACGTACTTTAAACTCGCAGCTTTTTGGGAAGCTGTTGGACCACTGAGAGGATTATAGTGAATATGAGTTTGATGACACACCTGGAAAGTACTCATTTGAGTTCGAAGCACCGTCATGTTTGGGGAAAAAAAAAAAAAAAAAAGAAAAAACCCACAAAAAACTCCACAAGCTGGAATAAGTTTAAGGAATCAGAATAAATTAGTTGTGAGGAAAGACAGGGTGATACGTGCAGTTTGAGTCTGAGTGGCTGAGAGGAGTTTGAACAACCCCAAGTGCAAGACGTCAGGTTGCACTGGCCTCAAAGGCCCTATCCACAGCCTGGTTTATGAACAGGGACCATGTTTTCTCCTGATGTGCTGATCCTTTGTCTTTCTTCTTCCCTCTCCGTTGGATAATGGCAAAATACGTTTCAATGCTCTCTACCAAAAGCCCACAGCAGAACTGCAGTACCTTCAAACATGGGAAAATTCTGCACTTGGGGGATAAATGGCCAACAAGGCTGGGCTTTCCTTGTTCTACCAGACTGACTGTGAAACAAAAGAGCAGGTTTCCTGAAAAAAGCAAAGGCCAAACAAAAAGCATACCAAGAGAAGAGGAGCAACGGGAATGAACCCAAGTGCACAACTCCTCGAAGTGTTTGTGGGCGGAGGGAGGGCGAGCAGAGCAGAGCTCAGGCTTTTGTCCCACTTAGTTTCTCCAACTCCATGGCAGAATCAGACCGAGAAAATACAGCGATCAAAAATGTTAGAGCTATTCATCCAAATATCAATACTATTCTGCTTAAAAAAAAAAATGTAATTTTTAAGCTGAGTTAAAACAAATCAATGCAAACCAAATAAGCCATCTCAGTCCTTGCTCAGAGGTGAGGCCCAGTGCTGCAGGTAGTGCCCCGATGAACGACAGGCCCCGAGGCTGCGGACATCACAGCAACAGAGGCACATTTTCCAACTATGCTCCATGAACAGAGGCGATCAGCTACATTCCTGCTTAACGACAGTAACCAAAATCCATTTCCATGGTTACAGTCGCCACTCATGGAGTGGGGCATCTGTGTTGAAATACCAAATCTTGACTAATTTACCTTTTCGGAAAATGAAAAGCAAGTGTGTTTTGTAGGAACGGGAAGTCTAGAGCACACGMAACTTTTTTTTCTGAGAGTGAGCGCTTTGAGGTCATCATGTTGTTATGAGTCTTTTGCAGTTCCTCATTGGAGAATTATGAGAATTTCTCCGGAAACATCTACAATGTCTGATTTTCTTAAGGTACTATGAAAAAAAAAACACAAGCAGCTGCTTCACTAGCAAAATGTTTGTGTTTCACATTATTCTGAGACATTGCATGCCGTTCCACACAGGGTCCTAACAGTGAAAACACACATTAGAAACCCGACATACATCCAGCAGCGTTTCATTAGGCTAACGGAGCAGCGTTTTTGTGAAAGCAACACCATGTGAAATCAAAAGGCTCTCCTTAGAGAATCAGCGCAGGCTTGGGGGGCAGCAGTCCAGAAAACAGCAGTGTGGTGTCTGCTCCTCKGTTTATTTGAGGAGACTGCAGGTCTTCCTGTTCAGGCTGCTGCTCACGTGCACAGCRTTCAGACTGAAAAGGAGACAGAATGAAAAGCACCTTCCACATGTTTGTTTATTTATTTATTTATTTATTATTTTGGGTGCTCCTGTGCCTAAGGACCCAGACCATGATCCTCTTCAAACCTGCCTGCCCAGGGCAAC